TAACCCTAACCCTAACCCTAACCCTAACCCTAACCCTAACCCTAACCCTAACCCTAACCCTAACCCTAACCCTAACCCTGAGTGAGGCTTGTCCCCCACCCCCATTTTGCCACAACCCCAAAAAAGTTGGGGCGCGGCGGCCACCCCAAAACCCAATGTCATGTCTCTAAAATTGTACTTGAAAGACCTAAGATCAAGAGAAGAAGAAAGGGAGAGAAAGAACTGAAGATCCGGCGTGGCGGACAGGTTCATTCATACTTCAAAACAAATGCGGCACACACCTCCGCTAGGCGTCGTTGATGTTTCTCTTTGTTGTGAAATTTTACTGTGGACTAAGATAAGCCATTTTAGACAGTTCACCCAATGTTAATTATAATGAAAAAACGTTTGGTATCACACAATCACGGCTTCCGAAAAAACTCAAAACTTTATCGCAAGATAAAGGAAAAATTGGAAAGAAAAAACGCAAAGCCAAAGCAATAACAAAGAAGAAAAATGAATACAAAAAGGGCAATTGAAGAACACCGCTGCTGTTTCAGCCCATTTGTATGAGGTAAAAGACGGTCTTATGATCGGAGGCCGGAAGACAACGTGGTAAAGACTGCATCCACGGTTTCGGGATATTCCAGCAGCACACGCCGGTTCTCTAGATGGAAAAAATAAAATAAAAATAAAAATAAAAAATCTACAGGGATGCGGTGGGTGGGCGCGAAAAGAACGATCTCAATTGAATCAAAAACGAGAAACAACCGAAGCAAATACCTAGACTACCAGTTTGTATAGAAATACAGAAAAAACATGAGGGCAAGAGATAGACATTAGTGTTGCAGCAAACTAAATGCGATCATATCCGCTTGCCCTTTCGGAGTTTGCACATAAAACAAATAAATTACGATAATTGTTTCCCTCTACAAATTTCCCCCCTCGAAACCCACATCACCCTTAACAGAAAACAATTCCCCTCTGACACTCTTGTTCCACAGAGGCACGCTCGTGGGAAAGCCCGCTGCCCATCACGCGTGTCGTTGGGAAGTTCGTTTGCCGTTGGGGAATGTCGAAGTGCGTGTCCGTTTTGTGTTTTCTTTGGGCGTTTACTTTCATTTATTTCACAACTCCCAATTCCCAAACCCCATGCTTTTCGTATTGTTTTGGTTTTCTCCCTGTGTGTTTTTTTTTATTGTTTGGTGGGGGTCTGATCTGCCGGGCCACTACCCCGCACACCACGCCCAACAACAAAGAGCGACACCGTGAAGGAGAATGGGATCCATTCCCCACACTCTTTGAACAATTCATGTTGAAATCATCATGGCATCACCCTTTTGAAATTCCACTGAGGGAAGAGAACAACGGCCATCCGCCACATACCCCATTCATTAATTGCACCCAAAAAAAAAAAAGAGCGAGGAAGCCAAACAACATCCAACACCAAAAGAGGAATAAATAAAACCAACGCGGGAATCAAATCCCCAAACAATTCCTCATCTTTTCTTCATAATTTCCATTGGAATTCCAAAGGATTCAAGGCGCAACGAAAGCATACCAAGTAAAAGTATACCTAATGTAATTTACCTTCTTCTTTGCTTGGCCCAAAAAGTGCTAGAAAAAACAAAGAGAGAAACAAAAAATATTTTTATTGGTTTGACCCCTCGTTTCAAGAGAGATCCCCCTTGGGGAGTGGCAAGCAGCAGAATAGTTTAAAACACTTTCCCGCCACGCAGAGTGAGAGCATCCGTTGTATTTTGATAATTTTTTCTCCCATCATGCAAAAAAAGGTTAACACTAACAAAGGGCCTCCTGGTGGGTTCACCATCTCCCCTCCTTTCCCCTTCAGGCGCTAGAGAAAACCACTGCAAGAGGGGCGACAGTGCAACAGACAACACAAACTTTCGTCTCTGCTTTTCGTCAGCACTACTACTCCCCTCATCGCCGTCACCATCAGTCCTCAATAATATGGAAAAGAACAACAACACTGACTATTCACAAAAACAGCAACACAAACTTTATTTTATTTTGCATCACACCCTGTGTGCAAGAAAAACACAACCCAAGTGAAAAATACAAACCACACCAAAGGAGTTACACCATCGTAGAGCAGCATTGTTGCCCCTATTACAATGTGGAAAAGAATATGCCCACACACACCGTAGAGTGGACACAACGTTAAATGGGTTAGGGCATTACTCTGTAATCGCAAAAAGAGAAAAGAGAGCAATAGTTGTATATCTGGATTCGTGCCCATCCATTTTTAAAGAAATGGGAAAAGAAAAAAACACAAAACCCTCAACAGGCTTTGTGGGTGCGCCATTCTTATTCGCTAAAATGATGGAAATGCTCCTTCTTTTTGGGGTGAAAGTTTCCTTCACGCAGGCACACCCATCCCAAAAGGGAATTACGCAAACATTGGGTGATCTTCTTTACTGCCCACTCACCGGTTGGCAGAAGAAGCATTATGAAATAGAAAAGGACCTCTTGATTCAAGGGGTCTCAATCTGTGCTAATTGCGTGGGTTCCCAAATGGCCCCTACACGGTCGCCAAAAGATTTCTCCGGGCCATTCCTAAGCAATTCGCCACACAAATATCACTTCTACTTGTTTGCAAAAATACAAAACATTCCCCACTCACCCTTTCCTCAGAGATGAGTGTGATGAGGTCCAGTAGCCAAGAATAAGATTTATCATATTTTTTTTTCCATGCAGAACTCTTTCCCACAGTCTTCCATGTCAATAGCTGCTGCGGTGGAATAGCTCTTTTCAATTCCACACTGAATCCTTCAACACAAAGAGAGAGACCCACCCCATTATTTTCATTGAAATCCACAATGTTTATGCTTTCAAAATAATAATGGAATAAGTTGATCAGTTTAACTACCACTGTGAGAATATAGCCCCACTCGGTAACACTCTCTCTCTTGACTGCGGCGTACAATATTCACCCTGGTCGACAAACGCTCTACATTGGTGTTTGCATTGCTGGAGGTGGATCAACATTCATTTAGGCCCTCTCTAGGCATCACCTCATCATGCGAATGTTGTTCAACAGTGATATCAATCTCTTGTTAATTGAACAAAACTCCATTCTCTCTTTTACTTCTATTCCTTTTTCTCTCACTGTATTTTTTGATTTTCGGTTGATTGCAGAGTCGCTTCTGCAACAACAAATCACAATGAATGAAAAAATAAGAGTCGAGATACAAAACAAACGAGAGAGTGCAGTAACTGGTTTAAAAAACATTTAAACAAACCCTCACTGATTACCAGCCGATCTGGAACCACAATCTGCAAGAATACCACAGACATCAGAAAGGCAAAACAAAATGTCCTTGCAAACCCCAATCGGATGAGTAATAGTGTACGAAATGAATTTATGGCTGTACATAGGCGCAACATCTGTAAGGTAAATGAAACAAAGTGTCACACACATAACTGAGAAATTCAGTATCCCAATGAGGAGATAATGTGTGCGTATATACGTGTGGGAGGGGGAGGGAAGCAGAGTATCAACCACAGTTGCATCACAAACTATTACATGCAAATGCGCCAGAATAAATAAATACGTATATGGAAAGCTATTCTCCAATCCAGCATACTTCTTTTTTCCTCTTCTTTAAATAACTGTCCCATTTCATTATTATTATAGTTCCACACTCCATTGGGCTGTCCAGTGTATTTCTTATTCTGCTGTCGTTTGATTGCGATTCCCCAGTTCCAAATATTGTTCCACATCACGGCGGTGTATACTCCCATTAGAATAAAACCCCGCTCAGTGCCACCATCCACCCATCGGTTCTTCGACTTACATTCCTTGAGAGAGTTGGGGAAAACAAAGAAATAAAAAAGGGGAAAAACAGCAACACATATAAAAAACAGCACAACAAAAAACATCAGCATAGAAACAACTACAGAAAAACATAAACTTCTTAGCATGAACATTTCAATTTAATAAAAAAGAAACCCCAATAATAATAAGAATCCCAAGTTTATGTTTATTGTTCATCCGACACTGCCTTAGCTCTCTCAGCATATTATGCGTATACTCCATTGCATATGACAACAAACAGTGGGATTCTGCAGAATGTATATTTGATAATTATAAATTTTCAAAATGAATAAAATCATATCAATAAATCATTAACAATTAAAAGAAATTTTCCAATGAAATGAAGAATGCTGAAAAAAAAAGAAAAAAGGCCCAATAATAAAAATCTCAAGTTTATTTTTTTCTTCACCTTACACTGCCGCTGCTCTCCCAGCATATATTTGCACTTCATCGTATATGGCAACAAACAGTGGGATTCTGCAAAATGCGTATAGGAAGAATTATAAATTTTCAGAAAATGAATATAAAATCATAGCAATAAATCATAAGCAATTAAAAGAATTTTTCCAATGAAATGAAGAATGCTGAAAAAAAAAAAGAACGGCCAATGTATTGCGGTTTATGGGATTCGTTTCAAAGGACCGTATTAAGCAAAAGTGTTCATTATTCTGAATATGGATGGAGCTCTCATGGAACCATCACAAAACCAACAACACACACAAGAAGTGCAAGAGGGGCCATGCAGGAGACCATGATGCTGCTGTCAGTACCGAACATAACCGTTACATTTGTATGTTTTAGTGTTTCTTCTTTTATTTCGCTCTCAGTTAAGTTCGTCCTGTTCAAAACAGTGTTTGAGGACTGTATTGTGTCTTCAGTGCCATTGGGATTAGCTGCGGATTGAGAAGTAGTAGCATCAGCAATATGACGACGACTTCTCGGTGCACGCTGTCCTTCCTCCTCGGCACTTTCAGCGTTGGTGGAATTTCCTGGTGTTGCAGCACTGGACTCATGAGAACTGCCGTTGGCATCAGGGGCTGCTGAGGCATTTTTCTCTCCTTCAGTAGCGGACGTTTCACTCCCACCATTTACCACGCCTCTGCTTGCTTCCGAATTGGTGCTCGAACTGTTTTGTGCTTTGGTTTCCTCCTCTTCCTCATCCTGTTTGTGCTCTTCCACCTTATCCTCAGACACATTAACTACATTGTATTTAATTTCGGGAAGAAGATCAGTATTCGTCTCTTTCGTGCACACTTCTTCGTATTTGGGACAACGAATAGTAGTTCCACTCTTGAACTCTGAACCCTGCAATGTAATAGTAGATTTCTCGTCGCTGCACTCCTCCCATTTTTCTTTCCCATTCTCCTCATTATACCCCTTGTAATGCACTTTCACCTTGCCATCCTCACACTTCACTTTTGCACAAATGCCTTGAACCTTCACTTTCTTTCCATTTTCATCGATTCCCACCGGTTCCGTCACATCCAGACACCGTGAGATATTGCTCACAATACTGCCAGGCATAAGTGTCTCATCACCAGTCTCGCACATGGTCTGTTGAAACGGCTTAATGATGGGACAGCCTTCCATCATTTCACTGTTTCTGAGATTATTCTTTTGGAAGTAGTGGTACTCAGCAGGTATACCATGCTTGTTCGTGTTGTCCTTGGAGCAGACACCAAGACCAAAGCGATCAGAGGTACACTGTAATACAGGTTTATCACTTTCCTTGCAGAAGGTCTTAGGGAACTTCCCCGAGTGTTTTTCGATTATTTCTTGGCACGTACTTTCAAAGAGCTCACATCCAAAATCTTTCCCCCAACTCATGGGTTCTGCCATGCTAAATTCTGCTCTGTAGAAACCCAATGCATTAAACAATGTAAGTGTTAGATTAGTGTAGAACATTCCAGTGGGATCACCAGTGTATGCACCCATCAATTCATCCCGTGCGATGCGTCTCTCCCACTCCAATTCAAGACTCTCGCCTTTAAAATCCAAAGGTATTCCACCGTAACTTGAGCAGTTGAACTGTTCCACGATCTTCTCCTTCATGTTGCCACCGGTCACGATCGTGACATCCTTTTTTCCACCGTTCAAGAAGACTCCAACTCTCCCTGAAATAGAGGAGGACGTGCCAAAGACGAACTCCTTAAACCCAAGTCCAAATGCAATATTGCGCGCAGCCATGCGAATGAAATGTCTCGTTGCATTGATCTCCTTTGGGACAAAACTGATACGGGCAGATGTCGGTCGGATCTGATTACCCCTGTCTTTAGTGCAAATATGATAGTCTTGCTCAGTTGGCGAGAGACGCACGTAAAGCAAAAAATCAGCATCGGGAATACCATGCTTCAAATGCTCTTCGGGCACCAAGAACTGCTTGCAATTCCTTGTCATTGGATCTAACTTGTCATCTTCATAATTCTCTTTCCATAGCGACAGATTGCCCTGCACTGGCTTCACTTTAAGGCGATCTCTGTGCAATTTGATGGCTTGGGGCAGGAGATCCTTAAAAAGAATATGCATCCTCTTTGTTGTCATTTTATTTTCACCGTCACAGAGTTGTTTAAACTGACCTTCAAGATCGTCTCTAACTCCTGGTAGTACATTGTACTCAGAAGGCATTACTTTCTTTTCTGCGATGCAATAGTTCATCACATCCTCCACATATTTTGTATACACAGCAAAACGGATGGGTTCCCATTTCTCATTATTATCACCAGCAGAGACGGTGTACGCCTGTAGAGCACTTTGTCCTTTCTGTGGTAACTGCTGTACAACAGCAGCCAAACACCCGCAGCTGCAGTACAACAGGAACAGTGCAGCCCACAGCAGGTGACGCATGGAGTGTTTTTCCATTTTGTAGTGGTGTGAGTATTGAGAGTTTGTGTGTTGCTTTGCTAATGTACACGCAGAGTAAAGAGAAAAAAAAGGAAGAAAAGGGAGAGAATAAAAGGTAAGCATAAAGAAATATTATATTGGATCTAGCAAAGAATTAAATACATGTATACATCGACAGTAATACTCTTAGAAAGAGAAGAATGATAGTTATGCCAAAAGTAGAATGAGAAAAGATATCAATATACCCTCTTGTGGTACACATACATACCAACAGTAACAACAACAATGCACTGTGAACAGATTTGGTGTTTTATTGTGTTTGTAAGAAATGCAGAGAATAATAATAGTCATAATAATGAGTGCTGTACTGCCTTTAAACAAGTGAAAAAGATAAAAATAACCCATGAAAAGAGTGAATGATAACATGTGTTAGATCTGTCCTTTGTATTAGATAAAAACTGTGCAACTCATGCTTGACTAACCCAACAACTCCACTTGATGATAATTTATTTTTTCTTTTGCCCATCCATGTCAGTAGTAGAAGAGCATAATAATAATAATAAAAATACACATCAGAAGAGCCATAATATAATAGAGGAGGGGATTATATGAAATATTCCATCAGCTACAAAAACACTCCTTGTACTAATTACCATACCCACAACACATACACAGAACACTATCTATAAGAGCACTACTCACATTTCCAAGAGAAAGTAACATGTACAACACACTGCTTTTTAACTCTGTTTATTCAGTAGAGATCTCAATTCAGTATCACTCCTCAGTGATTCACTCCCTGTAGTTATTGTTTTTGTTTTTCCCTGTAGAATAGCAGTAATCCCATGTACATGGAGTTGTGTACGCCTCCTATTAATACTCTTTCAATAGGATTGTTTTTACTTTCACCACAACAGAGACATTCATTTCCACTTGTGTTGTAGTTATCAATAAAAGGCGTAGAACGCCTCTGCACTGAGAAATAGGATTGCAATGTATCCCCCAAAGAGAGAGATTTGTTTTATTCCATTCTATCAAAATGTATTCCAACAGTTCTTTTATTGTTCTTTCTTTTCCCCTTTTTACTTTTTATTACCATTGATGGGTAGTAGGATCACTGTACCACTACCACTCAATGAGTTCTCACACCAAATAGAGATACATTCTCCTCCTCTTCTTCTCACCATGAAGAGTCAGGTATCATTTCTGCTATGGAAACTCCCACTAAGGTGTGACTGGTTACTATTTCCCCCAAAAATAATAAACATAATTCAATATTACAGAGATAAAAAAGGAAAGCTTAGAATGGGACACAAGGAAATGTATATTCCCATTTCTATTGAATGGGATAAAGAGTCTCATGTGTTGTACAATGCGTCCATTTGACTATTCTCACACTAGTTGTGAGACTCAAAAGTGTCATTAGATCAGCAGTGTTAAGAGAGCAGCATCCATATGTGTGTGTCTACTCTCTCCTCCTCTCTCCAGCGTCAATGCGCTGTGATGGTGCCTTGTCCTTCACTGAGGCCAATAAACTAAACCCACGCGTAACTAAACATCCCCCAGCAGTCACACAGTAACAACAACTAAACAAATACACATGTGAAATCACAATGTAAAGAAGAGGAATATTACAACAGCAGAAATGTATATCCTTAACCAACACCATTGGCTCTCACTCTCCATTACTTATTTCGTTCCCAATGGAAAGGAAACCACATACACACACACACGTACAAAGCAAAATGTCCAGTCAAACAACACCGTCAAGAACAAACACAGGGAATGCTGGCAAACCATGATAGGGTATAATCGGGGCAGTTCAAGTAGAGAAGCATACGGGACTCTGTACTCCACTCTCCCATTCCCAAACCAGTGCTCAGTGTTCACCAAATGTATACCGTGGTACACACAACACTCTGTAGACCTCTCCAGAATGAGTCAGCTCCCGCAGAGAACACAGCAATCAAAATGAACCCCCTAAACCATATAAAAGTTCATGTACAGTGTCTATTCAACTATTTTGAATCAGCGTACATAATGGTGAGAAAAACAAAAAAAAAAAGAAAAGAAGAAAAAGACCCAATAATAAGAATCCCAAGTAAATATATATCGTCCATCCGACACTTTCGTCGGTTTCCCACCATATATATGCGCACTCCATTGTATGTGACAACAAACGGTGGGATTCTGCAGGATGCATATATGAAGAATTATTAATTTTCAGAAAATGAATATAAAATTATAGCACAACATCATAAACAGTTGAAAAATGTTTTCCAATGATATGAAGAATGCTGAAAAAAAAAAGAAAAGAAGGGAAAAGGCCCAATAAATAGGAGCCCAAGTTTATGTTTACTGTTTATCCGACACTTTCGTCGGTTTCCCACCATATATATGCGCACTCCATTGTATGTGACAACAAACATTGGGATTCTGCAAAATGTATATATGAAGAATTATAAATTTTCAAATAATGATTAAAATCATAGAAAAAAAAGCATTAACAATTAAAAGAAATTTTCCCATGAAATGAAGAATGCTGAAAAAAAAAAGAACGGTCAATGAATTGCGGTATATGGGATTCGTTTCAAAGGACCGTATTTAGCAAAAGTGTTTTTTTATTCTGAATATGGATGGAGCTCTCATGGAACCACCACAAAACCAACAACACACACAAGAAGTGCAAGAGGGGCCATGTAGGAGACCATGATGCTGCTGTCAGTTCTCAACACATCCGTTCCATTTGCATTTTTGGATTCTTCTTCCATTTGGCTATCAGTTAAGTTCGTCCCGTTCAAAACAGTGTTTGGGGACTGTATTGGGTCTTCAGGGGCTGCTGGAGCACTTTCCCCCTGTGTATTGGTGGACGTTTCACCCTCAGCATTTGTCTCGCCACCGCTTACTTCCGGATTAGTGCTCGGGCTGCTCGGATCTTTGGTTTCCTCCTCTTCCTCATCCTGTTTGTGCTCTTCCACCTTATCCTCAGACACATTAACTACATTGTATTTAATTTCGGGAAGAAGATCAGTATTCGTCTCTTTCGTGCACACTTCTTCGT